AGTACTGTATTTCTTTATTAGCGCAACGAAGTGTAAATAATTAAATATATCAGGATATACGTGTTAAAGAAAAAAAAAATCCACCCTTCACCAATTTACGCATCATCTACTTATTGAACACCGTCGTTGCTTCATGGCCCACATTAAACGAACTGCCTGCAGACTAGGCATAGAATATATATAATTTAAATAATTCGTAATGGTACTCGGGGAGAAAACCATGAATTATTCATTATCTAAATAATAATTTATTTAAAATCTTCTATAAATCAACAATTTAGTAGCGATTGTAAAACAAACATCTTTTAAAGACGATGGCAAGAACAAGACATTACTGATTCGAATTCAAGAGGATTGTTTCGCCACTCGTTACGGCTGAGTGTTTGTCGAAGTCTACTTGTTTTATAGGTTTTGCTATTTCTGAGTATCTTTAAAGTGGTTTTGTAAGACAAAGTATAAGTCGGAGGTTATTTGTATGTATGTATTCACAAGATTACGTGCTTTCATATTTCTTCTTTTATACAATTGTAAGGATGTGAATTCGATCCGATGTATTTTTACTAAGAATGTTTTTTACAATGCGCCTTTTGATATAATCAAGTATTAAGTATAAAAAAAGAGTCACTAAACTCAATCATTGCTGGAATAGAAATACAGCATTTGTATAAAATGGACAAAGTGAGTGACAGGCTTCAAGCAATTTTTTTTTTGTAATAGGAGGCAAACGGGCAGCATGGCTCATCTGATGTTAAGTGATACCGCCCATGGACACTCACATTACAGGCTCAAAAGTGCGTTGCCGGCCTTTCAAGCATTGGTACGCTCTTTTCTTGATGGACCTAAGTTGAATTGATTCGGAAATACTTCAGTGGGCTGCTGGTTCCACATAGATAGGGAAAAACTTTATTAAAAAACGCTCAGTTGTGGAACGACGGACGTCGTGGTGATTCAGATGGTATTGTGTGTTCTGCCTTGATGTCCGATAATGAAACTGAGCTGCAGTAGAAACATTTTTGCTCCTATTTCCAGGTATTAATTAAATGTTTAAAACGAATGAATGTAAATACAAATAATAGATTTTATGAAAATTTTAAACAATTATTTTATAATTCTGGTAATGATGATATTGGTGAAATACATGTTTAATTATAGTGAAACGTGACTCAAATATCAGTTATAATATTCGATGCAAATGCAGTGTCATTGTTCGAACTGAATTTGTAGCTGGCACGCCCCAATTGCGGCCTCACTGAATAGTTCCCTGACGGTTTAGTAGGGCTGGCACAGCTTAGAAACTAGTACGTACGTACTGCTGAGCGTGAAAATTAATTAGTGTCAAATATTAACTGGTCTCATTTAATCATGTCAGTTAACAGAACTGTCAAATTTGCACCTTTAGACATATATAACTAACAGATTCCCCCCCCCCCCCCGGCCCCCCCCCCCCCCCCCCCCCCCCCCCCCCCCCCCTTCCCCCCCCCCCCCCCTTCTTTTTCTTTCTTTTTTTTTTTGGGGGGGGGGGGGGGGGGGGGGGGGGTTTTTTTTTTTTCCCCCCCCCCCCCCCCCCCTTTGGGGGGGGGGGGCGGGGGGCTTTTGCCCCCCGGTTCCCTTTTTTTTTTTTTTTTTTTTTTTTTTTTTTCCCTTTTTTTTTTTTCTTCCCTTTTTTTTTTTTTTTTTTTTTTTTTGGGGGGGGGGGGGGGTTTTTTTTTTTTTTTTTTTCCTTTTTTTTCCCCCCCTTTTTTTTTTTTGGGTTGGCCCCTTCCCCCCCCCCCCGGGCCCCCCCCCCCCCCCCCCCCCCCCCCCCCCCCCCCCCCCCCCCCCCCCCCCTCTGTTGTTTTTGGGTTTGGGGCCCCCCCGCGGGGGGGGGCGGGGGGGGGGGGGGGCGGGGGGGGGCGGCCCCCCGGCCCCCCCGGGGGGGGGGGGGGGGGGGGTTTTGGTTTTTGTTTTTTTTTTTTTTTTTTTTTTTTTTATAAATACAAATTTAACGATTAAAAGACTTGTCAACGTATCGGAAATTAATAACGACATCAAGGGTCCTTCCAGAAACTGGGTGATTTAGTCAAATGTAGTTTCATGGTTCATGAGTCGAATTCGAGTAGTTTTTTATGGTTTGGTTTTATTATGATAAAGATTTGGGTCGTTTGTAAATAATTTAAAAGATTGTCGTTTATATCGAACTACCGTGAAATAAATTTAAACTCAGCCAAATTTATCTAATACCGGTTTATATTAAGATTAAGATACCATCCTATTTCGTAAACAACCGAACCATTTTGAACAACAATACCGAAACCAGACAATAATGAACAACTGAACATTATTCATGCGCGTTTGTAGCAAGATTCTTAAGAATTTGTTTATATATTTCATAAAGATGTTTAGAATTTTATTAAATACATAATAAAAGCTAACACTTGTGTCAGTGTCGTGGTGAGTAAGGGTAGCATCTGTTGCGGGCTATCTGTCCTGTGTTAGAACGATGATATCACTTGAACAGTCTATCTGGTTGATAAAGGGCCGCGCGATCTCTTGGTTTTTTTGGTAAGACGATCAGTTTCTCCAAGGTCTCATCGCCTCTGCATTGTATGGCTTAAATACCTATGAGACAATGCGTTTCCGGCATAAAGACAGGTTAATTAAATAAATATAAATCGTAAGTTGTCAACCCTGTGCACGAGCGATCTCATGCTCTCATTACCACTATCTGAACTGAGCCTATTTTTCAATAGTCCATTGTCATATTTCAAATATTTTGCCAGCGCAGCTTTTATACAATTTTAAAGGGCGATTTGTAAAAAAATGATTCTAGTTTGAGTGAATTTTGCATGTTCTACATTTTTGAGACTTTAAAGAAAGAGAAAGTAATACAAGTTACATTATAGAACTTTGATAGCTTTCTTGATTTTCAATAATGATTTTAACGTTTTTGAGATTGTATATTAAATCGTTTTTGGTATTTTTACTTAATTTTATGTAAAAGTAAATAATAAATAAAGAGCAGTGTTGGCCTAGTGGCTTCAGCGTGCGACTTTCATCCCTGAGGTCGTAGGTTCGATCCCCAGCCATGCACCGACGGACTTCCTATGTGTGCATTTAATATTCGCTCGAGCGGAGAATGAAAACATCGTGAGGAAACCGGCTTGCCTTATACATAGACGGCGTGTGTCACAGAAGGCTCATCACATGACAACAGAATCATTAAACAGATACAGAAATCTCAGGCCAAGACCTAAAAATTTTGTTGCGCCACTGATTTATTTTATTTTATTTAAATAGTAAACACAACGCTAAATCGTAAACAAATCAAAATAATTTATTCATATAGGATAATTTACACTTATGAACGTCAAAAAAAAGATATATATTTAATGCTTCTAATTTTACATTTACTGCTAGTTCTCAAATCAAGGGCGTAGAACGCAAGAGAAGAACTAGCAATAAACTCCGCCACTCTTTTTAATCTAAATTACAACATGTTCCAGGTGACATTTCAAGTAATAAATTAAAAACAAAGATTTTTCCTCTATCAGCAGGAGGCGTGGTGAAATAGGAGCACTTACATTCTCGTGGGAACAACACAACTTATATAGATCACGAGTAATATAATGTTTATGTGAAAAAGCTGATGCCAGTTTTCAAAGAACCTTTACCTCTAGAATTACCTGATATGACGTAATAAGACGAGCAAGAGCCTTATTGTTCACTTTAAGGGCATCGTTAAGGCGTCAGACGTTTATTACAGACTTAAACGCAAGTGCAATTTTGTAGAGCATCATCTCACTAATAGTTTAATATAGAGTTTTCTATTCTTGAATAGCGAAGAAAATGAAGGTGATTTTTAAAGATTTCTTCTACTTGATTAAAGTTTTTATGGCTTTACATTGACTCCCTGTGAGCTTCTAACACCCTGATCTTTCTTTTTCATGACTCACGATTTGACACCGTGATCAACCGTATCTTAGAAGAATTATCATTTTGTTAAGAATATTTGTCAGCGTTTCTAATACCTTTTTTTGTATCGAACTCTTTTGTTGTATTATTGTTGCCATGTGGCATCTAAACAGAAATAGCTTCTTTTACGAGCATAATTATATACGCGTCTTATACATTTTTAATCAAATACAACTACTTTTAAAATCATGTAATGTGTATGCCATTAGTTCTACAAATATGTTTTAGTTATTAAAATAAATTTTAATTCGACAAGTTTATATTATTGGTATTTAAGTATTCACAACTGTACTACACATTATATAAATGAAATACATTTGTTTTCTTTAAAATAATTAGGAAATTGAATACATTAATTTGCGGATCAAAGCGTAAACACAATTTGTGAAGTTTCCTTCAGAAATTTCACAGTATTTGTCGTTGACAAATGCAATTAATCATTCCCGTTGAGAGCTTTCTTTAAAAATTCATAAACAGTAGGCAAATGATGAGCTAAGAATTTATAAGAATAGTACTGTGGAGTGCTTTAATTGTTATAAGGTTACTAGCTGGCAAACATTTGTTTTGCCCTGTATATTATTTCTTGGTAACATGTTTTAGTTCAATAAAAATAACTATCTATAATAATAGAAAATAGGGGTTGATCGTAGAGGGGTGAAAAATAAGGGTTGTATGTATTTTTGTATGCTGTATCATAAAAAAAATAGGGGTGGACCACCCTTAATATTAGAGGTATGAAAGATATATTCACACAACTGATAGACTTACTGAATGTGCATAAAAAATTTCAAAAGAATCGGTCGAGCCGTTTCGGAGGAGTATGGGAGCGAACATTGTGACACGAGAATTTTATATATTACATTTTATTCATTAGATTAGCTTTTTTATAAAGAAGGTTTTAGTTATAACATACTTAGTCTGGTATATTTGTGTGTATTAAAGTCGGGATAGTTAGAAAGTAATTAATAGATATTTGTTGTTATATGTTTTTGATTGAAATTTGAATTTTCAATAAAGCATCAATCTATTCATGTACATGTCTATAAAGGATGAAGGGAAACCTGTATATTTCAAGCAGAAATCCAAGAGCAATCCTTGTTTCAGAAGAAGTGGAGCGTCTGCTCCGCGAGTACACGCAAAATCAGGAGCTGGTGAGAAATATAGGTGCGCATTACTACCAGATAATCTACCCTGTGCAGCTCCGACACCACGAGAAAATGGGGATCTCCACGCGGGAAGTCAACACCCCTAAGGTCAGTAACCTTTGCATACTTACTTAGCCGTAATACATAAGGCCTGGAAATCTCTCACTTTTCAATCTATTAATGAGTTGATTTGAATTTTTATCAGGTATCTATCTATCTATAACGAGTAAATACTCGTTATGAACGTTAACTCTCTTTCCAATAAATCAATTATCAGCAGTTTCTAAATTTGAATAAAAAACAAATGCAATAAAATACGGGTTATTTGAAGACGTATTTCTTGTTTCGAAGTTTGTGAGTAATGCTCAAGTCATCAATGTCAAATGACTGAATGGATTAACATGACTAGACTTGATACTTTTTAGAATGTATCAAGTTTAATATATTATAAAATGCAATGAAATCATGTTAGATATAATGTAATAAGAGGACACGATGTCATTTGTTTTAATAGCATGACAACACGCAGTATCATAGACATCCTACAGGTTGTAAATTGTCAGTGTCATGTCAATTTGTCAGTAGTGCGTTGGATCGATCGTTGTGTTGCTCTCTGATCTGCGCCGGACGTGCGCACTGACTTATTCTAAAAATAAAATCCAAATGTCAGACAACTATAGTTATAACTATCTTATATTAATCACTTCGAATCTATAAAAAAAAAGGAAACAAATCAAATCTTTTTTATACACAATAATAACGATATTTAGGTAAAAATAAAGTGCACACTAGGATTCCCTATGTAGTAGGTAGCTAGTCTCTTCCTTTTGACATGATATCGGTACTTGACAATAATTTCTACATAACATTTTATAATCAAACTATTTTGCACAATAAGAATATTTTCTGGTTTAGCATAGAACGGGTTGAGAAAACGTATGATATTGTTAGTTTTGAATCGTAAGTGTAAATTTTGTTTTTATGAAAGTGGTGAAAGATGAAAGGGCCTCTGAAGGAGAAAAGCGTTGGGCGAAGAAAGTACTTGCGTTGCTTTTATGTAGATTTGCGTTGTGCATGATGTGGTGTGGCCGGTGTTTTATATTCAAAAAAGTCTTCATATTGCATAGTTGTCTAACCGATAAAGTTTTGTTTCATATATAACAAAGATTGTTTTTGTGAAAACTGCAAGATGCAAATCACGTAAAAGAAACACTGTCAAATCATTAATCTCAAACCTACCTCAATTTGAAGTAAAAAATACATGAAAAGACCTCGTCATAACAAGTATAATGAATCAAACGGTTCAGTGTAAAAGAAATTGTTCCAGTTTCTTGCTGACGCCATGATTAATGTCGTCCTCGCGACACCGGACTTTTTCTATTAACGAAACTTTCCTTCTCAGTACTTTTTGTTTTGTATTACTGTGTCGGAATTAGGGCCGTGACGTCACGCAAGGTGTCCATAGTTTCGTGTAACAGAAAGTAAAAATGGAAACACGAAAGTAGAATGCGGGCTATAGGGATTTATATTAGTTCTTAGTTCTTAGTCAGTCGTGTTTTGTAAATAGCAGTATTTAAGCATCATTTAAAACAACCAATGGGGCTACCTTTATCTAGGTATTTGGCCTGTGATTTGTATTGCTGTTTCGTGATTTTTTTTTCTAAATATGCAATGTAGTGTAGTGTGTTAGCCATTAGTTGAGTTTCATCATTGGACGTCGAGGCAGAATACGAAATTCCTCCCGTATCACCTCGACGTCCGCCGTTCCACAACTGAGCGTTTTTCAAGGCAGTTTTTGCCACGCACCACAACTTTGTGGAACCAGCTGCCCACAGAAGTATTTCCGAACCAATTCGACTTAGGGTCCTTCAAGAAAAGAGCGTACAAATTCTTAAAAGGCTGGCAACGCACTCGCGAGCCCTCTGGCATTGAGAGTGTCCATGGGCGGCGGTATCACTTAAAATCAGGTGAGCCTCCTGCCCGTTTGCCCCCTGTTCTATAAAAAAAGAAGCCATCTACATGGTTTCATTCTGAGATCTAATATATGCCAGATTTAATGAATGAGGGAGTATTAATTGTGCACATATGTGGAGAGTTTTAGTATTTAAAGAAAAACGCTTTTTACCGGATTAAAGTTATGTTTATTATTATAAATTTACAACTATTTGACATAATTTTAAATTTATCCGACGTTTCGCGTGCTTTACAGCGTGCGTGGTCACGGTGGCACGGTAGTTGTAAATTTATAATAATAAACATAACTTTAATCCGGTAAAAAGCGTTTTTCTTTAAATGTGTAAAGGTTATGTTAATCAAAGACAATACTATAGTTTTAGTATTGTTGTTTGTTAAACATTATTAATTACTTATTTCAATCCTTTGGCATCGTATGCTTCCATGAGTAGTCAAATCACTTGATAACTAAATTTTACTGTGTGCTATTTTTAGACAAGCAAACGAGGTCTCGTTCGCGTATCAAAGAAGCTAATTTCTATTGGTTGGCCATTGGCCATCAACAGGATTTAAATAGAATAATTTAAATAGCCTTGCCCAACATTTCTATCCAAAATCAAATAGCTTGTAGTCTAATAAATGGACACCAAAAGTTTGTTTCTAAAAGAACCTTTAATAAAACAAATAAACGCTTTATAGAACTTATAAAATTATTAGTTGTACTCATATAACCCAAAGTTTAAATACGATTAAATTTCCCGTATAATTGAACCGTTGTTATTTCCATATCTAAGTTGGGAATTTAATATGAAATATGATTATTATAGCGCCCCTCTGTTTGTTCTCGATCATAAGATTGTTAACAAGCGCTCAAACAACAAGAATTTGGAAGCAATCAAAACTTCAAGTAGCTTGATTACAGCCGCACTACGTGTTTTATTCGATCGTGATATATATATATAACTCTTTGCGAAAAGAAAACATCTTGTTATAGTGCCATCTCCTTGCGAAGGTTGGCGATCATCATGGCATGGCTTCTAAACAATGACTCGGTGCTTTGACCAAACCATTGTGTTAAGTTTTTCAACCAGGACAGTCTCCTTCTACCTGCCACTTTTCCTTTTATGATTATTTGAAGGAGCTCATATTTTTGGTAATACTCGTACGTAACACGTGTCCGAAATACATGAAAAATCTAAAAAGGGGAATTAGTAGTGGAATTCATCGCAAGAGAAAGAAGAAGTTAAATGTGTTGATTTTGCACGAATGTTGTACATGTTAAAATAAAAGCAATAAGGCTTGATGCCAGCCTAGTATTATCAGATTTAATATGTACCTTTAAAACTTCTACAACAACTATAGTTAATGGCGCTACAATCTTCTTAGGTCTGGCCTCAGATTAATGTATCTGTTTCATGATAATTTGTCAAGCTGATAGGCAAGTAGGTGAACAGCCTCCTGTGCTTGATACACCGTCGACTTTTTGGGTCTAAGTCAAGCCGTATTCCTCACGATGTTTTCCTTCACCGTTCGAGCAAATGTTAAATGCGCACATAGACATCGAGTCCATTGGTGCTCAGCCGGGGATCGAATCTTCGACTTCAACGATGAGATTCGACTAGGCCAACACTGCTCAACGCTACATATAAGCTACCCATGCTCATCGCACCCTTCAGAGGCCCTTTCATCTTTAACCACTTTTCTTAAAACAAAATTTCCCAAGTCTCAAGCAACATCTTTTCAACCATGCTGAAACGGAGAGTATTCTTCTTATGTTTGCCCGCTTTTCTATAAAAAAGAACCCCTTGTGTGGGTGCTATTGCGTTTTCTTTTAACTATACATCCGTTTTTATTGTTCAATAAAGTTCTTTCTTTTTTTCTTGCTGCAACAAAGTCTCTTAATGCAACAACCCATTTAATACACACCATACATATTATGCCTATATCTGCGCTGTATTATGGCAGCCTCCATCGGCCTGATCGCGAAATAATAACTAATTGACGGTTCATATATATTTCCATTTTAATAGGAAATGTACATAAAGCTGCAGCCCTCAGAGGCAAGTGAAGAGGCCTTATCGAGATCTTTTTAGAGTTTAAAACAAGTTTCAAACTAAGTTAAATTGGCTTTCCAGCGAATATTTTGCGTGTTTAACAGCTTTGAGAGATGATTGTTGGTTAGTAGCTTCTACACATTTAAATTACTTAGATAACTTTGCATATCTAAGGAAATTAAGTTTGCGAAATTATGTAGAACAGGATAAACCTAATAGCTAAGATACTAATTCTCAACCTTGAGTTCCCGCGTTCGAATAATTTTTGTACTTTAATGGATAAGCATTTAACACTGGAGGACGTCGTAACCGGCATGTTTTAGATCCAAAAAATAGATAAGGTGGTCAGGCACGGAAGACCGATAAGTTCCTCCTAATTATTTAAATATTGTCATTGTATTGGCTGTGTATGCTAGTAATTTAAAAAAAAATAAACGAAAAAAAAATTAAATCTTCTACTAATATTAAAAGTACAGTAAAATTCTTGTTGGTGTCAACAAACTTGAACGTAACAAAATATTAAAATTAAATATAATAAAATAATTCCTTTATAATATATCAGGATAGATTAGGAATTATCTCATACACAAAAAACATTTGTCCGATGTAGATTTTGTTAAGATACCAGCGGTCATACATTCTTGGGTCGGGACTAAATCATAAGAATGCCAGTATTATGATAATACGCACAGACGACCCTGCATTATGTATAGTGAGGGAATAACTTGTGGATAACGTCACATATTCGCTGATTTCTTTAATATATTATTTGAGTTAGGTATGGGCTGATACAATTTTTTTATAAAGCGTAGTAGACTTGAGATGTTCCACATATGGAGAAGTATAGATATTTCTGAAATCGATAGACGAAAACACAATATTTGTAAAATCATTATCTAGTATGTAAATGTTGCCAGGTGTATTTTAGAATAATTCTATACAAATCAAATCTTAGATAATCTATCTATAATCTAAAAAAAGTGGTCCCGTAATGTCAAATGACAAACTATTAGGCAAGTATAACGGTCCTTTACTAGAAAATTATAGTTCAAGAAATATAATTTCTGAATCGTGAATCAAAAGTTATCTCTGAGCTTCGAAGACTAGAGTAAAAAGGCTTTTTATTATTGAGTTCACGCAGTCTGTAATATCAATTGTGTAACATCAAATTAACAAACACGTTCAACCGAATTAATGAACTTCAAACAATAAATATTGAGCTCAATTAAAAAAACCCCTAAAAACAATATTTGCTTTCATTCAATAGTTGTGATACAGTAATTGAAGATTGTATTGAAAATGTTTAAAAATTATTGACAATAATTGTAAGCGTAAATTAAAAAAAAAAAATATCTGCCTCCTATAGTAGTGTGGACACAGTTTCCGCTCTTAGACGCCCACTTAGCCAGCCTAGTCCCTTCCAGAAGCTCGGAAGTGTTTCGGGCACTTTGCAGGCTTTACGGAGCGACCTCCGAGGATGTCTGTTGGGAAGCCACAACCACGCATTTCTGGACTACGTGCGTGACTGATTTCTCTGCGCTAATACAGCCTCTGCATAATGGACTCCACTGGCTCTGACATCCAAAATGTGTTGGCCTCCGAAATGGAAAATTTCTCATTTAATAAATTCTTTAAAAAAATATCTCAAATCGCTAAAACCCAGCAATCTATTCAAATCTATTAACGGCTGATCACCCATTTTCTTATAAAAACTTTATGCAGTAATCTCTGTCTGCATAAGTGGTTGCAGTGCCATTGGACGCATCTAGCGTCTATTTCTCATAAATCATGGTCTACTTGGTGATACGTCAGACTGTTTAGACAACTATAGAACAACAATGCCGTATAGTATATAATATACGGTATTTCATCGTCTTACGCTACAGTTATTAGAAATGACTGTGGTAAATTGTCAAATGAATTAAGTCTTTACTACAAATTTTGTTGCCCACTCATATATGTACTTTTTTTGTTATGACTCAGTATAACTTTGCTATGGAATGGAAGCCTGGTTATCCATATCACAGGTTCTTACCTAGCTTGGCAACCACTCTCCCAATACCTTCTTAATTGTAATCGTACTGTTTGTTTGAAATGTTTTATGGGAGACAATAAAGAATTATTATTATTATTATTAAAATGGCGTTATGCGTTTTTATTACAATTTATTAAATTTACAAACATTTTAAAGTACTACTTTACGCAAGATACCGTCAACTCTGAGGTGCGTTTGAATCACGGCTGTGCGGCAAGGGTATTTTTTCTGGTACGGTACAGGTAAACATCGCACAGGTATGTCTTGAGTCCAAACATCGACGGCGTGTCAGATAAAACATATCAATTGTTTATTTAGGAAAAAATATAATAATAATTATAGTTTATTGCATTTCGATAACACATATTATAGATATTATTTTAGTTAGTAAACAACTTAAAGACTAATTTTAGTACCAACATCAACAAAAACATGAAATAACTAAACAGCGTACACGTACTCTCCCAGAGCCGACAAGCGTACATACAAACTATCAATTTGCGACTGATCTATTGAACTGAGGATACTTACCTCCTACCTTGAAATCGGCGTAAAAGTGATGCCATTCTTTTCCGACGGATCGTCCAGAAGTCATATCAGCCTGACCGAGACCGAGGGCTGTAGCGACACTTACAAAACTTACAAACAAGCTATACAAGTTAATCATATTTACTATAACGCTTTCTTTCATATCGTAGAAGAAAACGTAGAATAAACCAATGTTGGAGAAAAGGTGAGACACAATCGAACAATATACTCCAAGCTGGCTCAACGTTAAATTGCAATAAAGACAGAGAAATCTCGGATTTTTAATAACAGATTTAATGAAATCGTAGCAGCAACTAAGAAATATTAGGTGTCTCAAATCGCTCAGTGTTCGAGACAAAGGCAAGAGGAAATTGTATGAAAATCCGACGCCTTTTGATGTGAAAAAGTAGCTAGGTCAGGATATCTGAAGTTCATTCAAAGAAAATATATTTTTCTTTGTCGCAACTTGCAATTTTATATTTCAAATTCAGTTTGATAGGTAACTAATTATTATTTGAATATTTTATAAATATTGTTTTGCGTTATTTATGATATCATTTCTCAAAACTTTATTTCTTTTAATGATCTTCATATCTCGTTATTTATTTGTTAAGTAGTGTGTTAAGTAAATAGCTTCAACTTTTATATAAAAGTATAATGAGTAATATTATACATTTTTAAATATATGTACATTTTGAAATCACATTTTGTGGGTACCTTATGTTGTAGATCGTGTAGAGTATTTGTTTGGAAATAATCAAAAACCTAATCCAGATGAAATCGAGTCGAGTATTATCTATCGTGCCTCCATACTGTTTTTGAGGCTTTAACATTATCCAACTGATTCCAGTGATAAAAGTAAATGGCAGGTTCGAAAATTGATTTATTAATAAAATTACTTACAAATACGCTGTGAACATCCTTTGAAGTAGTATTATAAGTTATTGTTATATTAA